ACGATGAGCTGTTAAAGGTAACATTCAGCTGTTGTTTCTTAAGCATTTGTTAATTTAAAGTAAATTTAATCATGAAATGACATCATTTGGAGAACTAGTAGAGGCCTGAGTTCCCTGAAGAGCTGCTTCATCCTGTTTTGGGACAGCAGTGCGCACCTACGACTCTATTTTAAGAAACTTACTCCATCTGTTCATCTTCCGATCAATAAAACTATAATACTGTTCTGATTCTCCAAGATTTTCTGTTTATTGTTGAATTTCTCGTCGCTAGCTTATCACAATCTACGATGTTATACAAATTCTTCGAATGCCCCTCTGTCTCGCTGCATTCATATATCTTAATATTGGTCTGTTGTGGTTGCGCGTACCAGTGCAGTCGAACTGTAATCATAAACTGTTCAGTTCCCTTTGAAACCCCAAAGTATAGTTAAAAAGATCAAATTTGAGTCAGTGTCGTATCATCATTAAAGTTTCATTACTCTTTGAAACTGAATACTATATAGGAGGTCATATGAACTTGAAGATGAACACTTATCCATATATCCGGCTTATTTTGGAATAATAACTTAAGGATCAGAAATATTATTACGAACATGGAAGTGTGAGATATAGAATCGCTTGCTCAACTCTCAACCACTGGATGACGAGTTTCAGCGTCACTTTAACTAAAAGGGTTTTAGACTCCAAAATAGCATCACTAGCCTCTGGGCAGTAGTTGTCACTCACTTATCAAGTAGATAGCTGGGATTTGGATACTTTAAATTACATTAAATATTCTCTCAGCATTCCCCTTGTGTAATGTTATCAATAATATTATCATGATTCCGATTGTTATTTTAAGTTTAGTAATAGTAGTAGTGTCTTGATATTATACTTATCATTTTCTTTTCTCACTGAAATTATTATTTAGTAGACCGAGTGATTTATTTCTATCACCTATATTAATATTGTCACTATTATTATTATTATTATTATTATTATTATTATTATTATCGGAGATATCTTTCTTTTGCTCATCCAGTCATTCATCTGTACTTTGAGTTGTTTTGAATCCTGACACAAGTGAAGCGAACAAATTTCTTTCAATACATAATCTAAAAGTCAGAGGATTTCATAACGAACATATTTCACCTTTCGTTTTCAGTCTATCCTATGGTATATTCAGTGGAATCATTCAAGTTTTATTGTATCCGTACACTCTTTTCCTGCAAAGTATTATTGATGTGGTGAAAAGAAGTGAAACTAGACAGGAAAATTTCTTTCTCTACATATGAACCTCCTAATTTGAATGAGTCTCAATCTTCGATTGTTTTCGTATTTCTACTAACTCTTGAACTTTGTAGTCATCGCTAGTGAAATACTCAGACAGAAAAACAAATCAACGTAGGATATGGGACAGAAATGCATCGGTTTAAGATAACACACCTCATAGCAGAATGGAAAGAACCAGGGGATCGAAGAGATGGAATCGTATGAGAACAGAGAAAAAAACTTTAGAATATGTCAAAGAGTGAATACATCTATGACCGATTTTCAGTCCTGTCACCAAGAATCTCCAACAGTTGGTGCCTAGAACTTCCAACACCTCAACTAGGAGGCAGTCTACACTTATATAAAAAGGTTGAGACCAATAGTCAGAGACCTTACGTACTTCTGCCACCCTGAGCCTTACTCCAACCCGAATCTTCAGTTAAAACTGTCTGCTCAGATAAATGACGAAGCGAAATACTGTATAGTGGTAACTAATTTTCAGAAATGCCTATCACTCTCCTTGTACCCGATTTATTCGACAGGGTTTTTCGGCTTTCTTTAAGCAAATGCATAAGAACATAATTATTCAATAGTTGTATGGACACCATAAACAATAGTTTTCAAATTCCACCCTTGATGGTCGCTCAGTCCCTCAGTAAATAGAAAAGATGGTAAGATAACAGAAGATGTATTAGAAGGTCAAAATATGTTTATGTATATTTCCAATGGGTTTTGACTATTTCTGGTCTTCTCAAGAAGAATACTCCCTGTTTAGTTTGTCTCCTCAACCAATCTGTTTTTACGCGTATGATCATGTACCTTTCCTCGAAATTTTTGAAGCAAAATGATTGGTTATGAAAGACAGCAGGGATTTAAGACTTCGTACTAGAATCTGAGCAATCTTATTGGACATCATAACACAAACCCAATCTTCTTGTAAACTTAAAATCTATGATGGTTTTTAATTCTTACTCCACTTTTTTCTCTCTTTGTTTTCTTTACCCACTTGTTCTTATATAATTAGTCTTCAATCTTTTATTCTTATTTTGTGGTTTCCATTTGGTGTTTTGATTTGAACTATGCTTACTTGAACCTATGGTTCTGTCGTTGCTTTTGACATTTTTTAACTGATTAAATCTCAGTTATTTTCGACTATTTTAAACTAGTATTCTATGCCAAAGCATTCTGAATATATGTCATACGGTGTGAGCCAATGGAAATGTTGCTTAATGAACACGGGACTTGTCGGTCAACCCAAAGAATACTGGTGGATAATTTATTTACCGATCTCAGTCCATGAAGTCAGTTTCTATAGTTATCTGATTCATAGCAATTTACCGACTGACTAGTAAAAAGCCAACAGATCTATGCTGACACATATAAGCAGATAAGAAAATAGACGATTACTAGTTTTCATTCCTCCAGTGATGAGAAAAGCATACATTGGAAGTGTACTAACCATATCCAAATGATTCCAGTTAATACATACATGATAGATGTATATTTTGGCTGAGGTTGGACATACGAATGACTATTACTTTCTTTATTGTCTTCAGTGATGAAATGTTATCAGTTTATCAGACAGTTCCTGTTACGTGTAGAATGCGCTTTATTTATTCTTGCATCCCTTCCCTGTTTTACAAGTCTTCTCTGTCGATTCGTTTTCATGTGACTATTTCTTTCCCTCACCTTTCCATGGAATAGATCAGATAGTTTTTCTGATTTAAAAAAAAATATTTATCAATAGATTGCTGCGTAGCAGATGGTCATTCGCTCCATTCGTCATATGAATAGTTTTTTTGACTGTCTATCGAAAAAAAACGTTGTTCATTCTTTTTAGTATGTAAGGGAATGATATCCTATATTCCAAAAATAAAACTCGCTTTTCAAACATATTAGGCCGATATGAAAGAGAGCAGAGGAAAAATAACGTACAACCTGTTTTTTTTGGTTTAATTCTTCAGATAACAAAGCTACTTTATTTCATGTTAGATTAATCTGTTTGATATAGCACATTGTGGCATAATTTTATTCACTGGATAACATTTCAACCATAATTTATTGCTCATATTCAAATCACAGCAATCACACAACTTCCCACCTTAGTTTTTTTTCATAGTTCTACTACCCTTTACGCTCTTTGGTTTGATGGACTATAGGAATCGGTTTTGAATCATTTCTGTTAAACGTGCTAGGCATTGAATCGACGAACAGAGATTCAGTCCACAGAACAATGTACCCGCCATTTATGCAGATAATTATACATAGGTTTTTAGAAGGAGTGATCACTAGTTTAAGCTTTTTAAAACTAGAATGATTTGTAGTCTCATCCTGTGGTACAATCATATGGATGCCATCAGCCCGGTTAATCTCAATTCATCATCGTGTAACAGAAATGATTCGAAATCAATTCCAGATATATGGAGAATCCTATAGTCAGTCAAGTCAAAGGACACAATAGTTGGTAGAACTATAAGAAAAATTGAGGCAGGAAGTAATGTGATTACCTTGACGTGAATATGAACAATAAATTGTGCTCGAAATACCATCTAGTAAATAACACTCTACCACAGTATACCATATCAATTAAACTAATCTAATGTGGAATTCCATTCTAACACAGTGTCCCAATTCGATACTCACACTAAAGTTACTTTATATTATACTGCTGTTGCATTCGCATGGAATAGAGTACAACGTTATCATATGTTGTACGACTTGCTTTGCACTATTTTTATTGTTGTTGCCAGGTCCCATATTGCTGCTGACTGACTGACTGTTGTTACTATCTGCACCATCACATACTGATCATGTAGTTACTTCTCTGTTGCACTTGTCAAATTGTTTCGATGGTTCAGGTAGCGGATTTTGAAGGTATGCGGAAAGATGGAATGAATCCTTATCCAGGAGATGATCGCCTCAACATTTCTGTAATAATTGCAACAGTAACCATTCTGTAGGATATCATTCTGCTCAGTTTGCCTTACGAAATTATTATTATTCTTCAAGATCACTTTCACTGTTGTTTTCACTACTGTCACAGCACGGAAATCTGAAACTTCTTTGGCCATTTTGCTTGATCATATGTTCCCAAATCGCTACTACTACTGCTACTTCATCTTCTCTATTCTAGCTGTCGTTATCATCTTTCTCTTCTTCAGTTGAGTGTTTTTCAGTGTCGTCACCATTACAACGACCACCACCACTGTGCTGTTATCGTTTTGCTTTATATTTTCACATTAATTGAATTTCCCTACTTGTTTCCTTTTTCCTCCTTCAGTGTACAAACTGATGCCTTTTCAGTACATCATTTCTGACACTAGTAACAGTATTACTGGTAAAATAGTAATCATCTTATTCTCACATTTTGTCTTTTTCCTTTTCTTAGCTGCCACTGGACGTTTTATTTGATTATTATTTTTTCGACAGACAGTCTTGACCAGTTAAATGATAAATTTCAATATTTTTCCCTTAGTGATTATTTTTCATTCACTTTCTTTGTTCCTATGGTTTATTCTGGGTTTACTGACTAGCGCATAACACATACACGCATATTACTTTTTTTTTGTGATACACGTGATATTTCTTTGTTTCATCTCATGATCTGACACTTCTCTTTACTCCAGCTCTCCCCTCCCCCTCCCCCCCCCCTGGACAATAACAATCTTAATAATAATGTCTGAAGCAAATATTTCCAATTTAGTAATCATCAGTTCAATGTTGTTTTTCTTTTCTTTTTAACTTTCTAGGCTTTTGTCAAACAATATGTTGCCTACTGCTTCACTCTGTCAAACTGGATTACAATCATTTATCACTACGAATGTAAGTAATCCAAATGATGCAATTTATCTGGGAACATCACAAAATGTGTCTATGATGAATAATGGTCCAGCCGGACAGGATAATAGTGCAGCTGTAAATTGCTCACCGCTTGTTCAAACATTTATATCTCCTGTACAACAGCAGCAGCAGAGTCGTGCAAATAATCCCGCTTTAGCTGACTCGACAAGGGGTATTGAACCGACCTACTCAACGACAACTGATGCTCTGCATGGTAAAGTCAAACCTCATTCCGATTCAGTAGTTGTGGTTGAAAGGAAATCTAAACATCATTGCCCATGGTATTATTGGATTATAAGCATACTGATATTAGCCTTTCTTTTGGCGCTTGTGCTAGCTGTGTCCTTCTCAGGTAAGCAGTGTGGAAACCCCGTAGACCACTTTCAGGTGAAGGGGTTTTTGAATATATATATATATATATATATATATATATATATATATATATATATTGATGAGACTAAGACCAGCTTAGTTTTTAAGACTAGTCTTAAATAACGGGATGATGATTGAAGTTGAAACGGAAACTAGGATTCCGATGCAAATCAAATCATCAATCCTCAGGTTAAGTGCTCGACCCCCTACCGCCTGAGGTATAAGACTCAGCCACTGGTCAGATTGTGATTTCCCCACTACATATTTCTGTTTCATGATATCTAAATAATATTATTGCAAGAATCAACCTAGCATATTTATTACGAGATGCAGTCGTAGTCCTTTTGACCACTATATTTCAATGGACTACCATATGCTGATTCCATACTGGAAGCGATTTATAAGCCTCCATGACCACGGATATATATATATATATATATATATATATATATATATATATATATATATATATATGCAGACTTCTAGTTGAGAAACGAATCATTGCAAACTTTCATCACTCTGTATGAAAATCTGATTCTGTGATCCGATGGCATCCTGGATGACTGACTAGACTGCCAGACTATTCAGAATTTAAAGTTTGCTTACAGGTGTACTGGTGTGATTTTGTGTGCCAAAAAAACGTATTCTTACTCTTAAACAAACAAAATTTAAGAACCACTTTAAGGCTATAGTACTAAAAGTTTACTATTCGAAATCCATTATCAAGAATAAGTGTGTATACTTTGACTTGTCTGGTTGCAGCAATAACCCTAGTGATTTTTAATCTTGGAAATAGTTTACTGCGAAGAATTGTCTAGTTCTGTTTTTATAGCATCTGTAGTTGCAGTATTTGTGATTGCCATATTTTTGATGACTGGACTATCTTACCTATTGGTTCATTGAACAAAACCGTAGGTATCTCAATAAAAATAGATAACGGACTGAGCTCATTTTATCTCACAGTTTATCTTCATCTGTAATACAGCCCAAGATTAAATTGAATTTTTAAAATTAGTGATTGCATAGACTGTAAGGAAAAAAAATTACAGCCAAATTCAAGGGGTAATTACATAATAATAAATCAAGGAAGTGTAGAAAGCCACAATCACAATTGCTAATCAGAACCAGTAACACCGCATGTGGGAGCAATAAACATATGATTTTGACTAAAGAAATTTATTCACACCAGTGGATTAATGTACTTTTCTGTTATCGTTCTTGATTCACTGAGTTAAATTGATCAACTTGTTTTCTAATCATCCTATGCTACTGAATTTTGTGTACTTATATGACTATAAACGAAGAAATGAAACACTCAGCCACTTGGTGAACATCCATGCAGTAGGCTATTAGCCACACTAGTAACACTACCTGACTACCCAAACCTCTGTAGGTGGAGCGTTATATAACTAGACCAACACTATCTCCATCACAAGTGAATATCTTTATGTAGAATTAAAACGCTCATTTTCATAGCTTCAATTTGTACACTTTGTCCACCTAACTTGAGCTAAAACAATTTTCTGAGATTGTTAGTTCTTTTTTTTTTCTCCTTGTTCACCTTCAACTATCTTTCAATAGCATGTAAGTTGAAACGTGACCTAGGGCCATAGCGATGTTGTGAACTTGACCGGTAGAATGTGTGTGGTTAATAGTGACCACTAGACAAGATGGTTACGAGTTACTTTCTAGTAACTGTTCACTGTCTACTTGATCTAGTCCTATACGAGATTGGTCACTATTTATAGTCTGTGATTGTGGCACTGACTGAAATAGGTTCAAACGTCTGACGGGAGCACGATTCCCCGGGCTTGTTGATGGGCTATTTTAGTAAATTAAAAAAACAACCAATCTTGCTTTCAAGCAACCTTTATTTAATAATCTTTCAGTTTATTTTTCGATTTCATCTTTGATGGTAGGAGTCAGTTGTGTATTATCCGACTAAATGTTGTTACTGCTGTCGACCACTATACCACTGAATGTAAATTCATTAATCTCTTCCGAGAATTAATTGGTTTCGATCTGTTACTGATATAGAAAACAAGACATTATTATTATTATTCGCAATCCACCCTACATGAATAATCTAACCTCGAGCCTTGTTGATGCGAATGATTCATTTCTTTTTCTCACTGTTTTATTCTTTTTTATGTTTACGTATTTTTAGTTTTACCCTTTGCTCCCATTTGCCGCTATATTGCCTAGTTCTGTATAAAACCAACCCAATTCAGGTCAACAAGCATTTCCTTATATTCTCTTTTGTGAAATATTGATTAGTCTGTTTCCTAGGCATATTTTATGGTGTTTACATTTAGTTTGTTCTAGGCAAGAGAGTATGAGATTCCTGATTTGTTGCAGTGAATCATCGTTTATCATTGAGTCATATGACCATTATGGCAAGCTGCTAGATAGATTGACTAATGTGTAAATAGTTTGAATCTGTTAATATAGTCCTGTTTCAAGCTGTCTTATTGTTTGACTGAAACACGTAAGAGTCTAACTTAACAAAGCTCTGTTTCCAAGTACCACTGCAAACCGTACAAAGGAATAAACTTAACGTTAAAAACGATAATAAAATAGACAAATAGCACTAGAAGAATCGAGTTTTCACTCTTCAAAGGGATCCTAGCTTTACCATTGGGTCTGATTTGGCTTCGCATTCACCAAATCTCTTCTGCTACCCCGCCAAGAACTCAAATGTTCATCCGAACGTCTCAAACGAACACAGACATGATGAAGTCACTCGCTAGAATACTCTTCCACGCTTTTTTCATGATGGTGTCATTATGTGAAAATATTCGTATGTGTTGTTTACTTTCCTTTTTTAATCAGTTAGCAGTATTAAATCTATTCATGACACTCAATGGTACACAACAACCGCTTGCAGGAAAGTAACCGATGTAAATATCATTTCCTTAGTTTTAATGGAAGATCATCGATCCAATGTGCTAGATGACATGGTACTGCGTTGCTTTTTGTGTGAAGTTAAAAATCAGTCGACATGAAGTTTAGTTCTTATAATTAACTCCAAGCAGCTAACCTCATGCTGTATAATTTTATGCTTATTACGAGTCTGGAGATGCAGTGAATAGTTGCTTAGTAGTTGTTATTTACTGTTCTTTGCCAATAGAATGTTTGGCTAATGAAGGATAGAAAAGTATACCTTTTATTCGTAGTTGAATTCTATCTATTGGTTTCGTCAGATGTCCGTCCACCACTCATCGAAGTTCATCCAACTTATTAAGAGAAAGTAATATAAATTCCAAACAAACAGAAGCTTTTCACTAAAAAATACATAGATTGATTGAATAATTATGAACTATTGAAGTTGATGCACACAATACTACCTAATTTTAAGCGCCTAATAAATTCATTTAGAAGACTTTGTGGTTCATTGGTTTAGGAAGATGACTTTCAGCCAATGGATCACGGGTTCGAACACCACTTCACCTACCGAGGTTTGGGCAGCCAGATAGTGTCATTATACCTCACACAATAGGTGTGGCTCATTGCCACTTACTTCACTAATGTGCATATGGTTTCCGACTGAGACTACTTATTTACACTTGCCAAAATGCCATAGCTGGGAAACTTTACCAGCATTCAATATGGAATATAATCTAACAAGTTGGAAATTGACTACTGTGACAAGGTCATCACTGAAGCATGAAGAATTCATTATTTCTATGTATTGTTTCACAAATTTCCGTATACTTTAGTGCATAAAATAACTGATTGACACCAGGTAAAATAGAAATAAATATTTTAAGACGTAAACTGTTGAAATAAAAGTTTTCTAGCTCCAAATTTCGATCTATACTTGTAGTGAACAGCCTAACCTCCCGTCGGACCTAATACAGAAGTAAAGTCATCACCACAATCACATTGTACATGTTTCTTCAATTCAATGAATTATAAAATCCTGCAGATGTTAAAAACCGTTTTTCAAGTATTTCAGTATGCTGATTCTCTATGTTTGATCTCCAGTCCATTGTCTCAATTAATGATGATGTCGAAGTACTTAAAGAATTAACAATTCGCAACTACTATCTAATCTTCGCCTCATATATCAAAGTATTTTCGTTTCATTTTGTACAATCTAATCAAAAAGCCAAACTATTCTTATAGCAGCTTGAAATTATGGAGAACATTTGTAGCTCAGGATGAGGATGACGGTGATTTAGTGTTCCCTCAACTGTGATATTTCTTTATGGATGTCTCATTACCAGGCTTGGGGATATACTTAACACCGACTTAATAATAACAAACGCTTCCAATTTGTACTTTTTTCGCTAAAAACACTTCTTTGATGCATCTCAAAGCTTCAGGATAACTAATATTCGTTAGAGGTTATTTTTAAAACCCTTTATTTGTCATTTGTACTTTAATGGAATCTTGGAAGAGCACTGGACCAGTGATTTGGAGGTCATTAGTTTTAATTTCACTACTGACCAGTTTTTTTTTCAGGCTCATTTACCGATATATTAACGTATCTAAATTTTGATTTTCTGCTTTTATAGAGGAGAAAAAGCGTCTAGATTATCGATTACAAGAACGATTTGCCCAAGATCCTGCAATCATTGGTAGGTTTTAGTGGTCATGATCAATTTAACTTCTATTGGTGTTGTTGTCGCTTATCTTGTCATTATTTTCATACTGTATCCCTACATCTAAAAAAATTTCATCGTAAAGAAATGTCTCACCAATTTTCAGCTTTACACTGAATAATTCTATTTATTGAATGCTCCTACTGTCACACTGGATAGCATTCTCAGTATCCACTTTTAGATGTTGTAATCTTTTGAAATTTCTTCACGACCTAGAGGTCACTTTGATTTAGTGGCGTTGAGCATTATATCTTTGGTATCACTGTGTAAACCTGTGTTGCTCAATTTTAGCAATTCAGTCAGTGAATCTTAAACTATCAAATCTAGGATATTTTGGTTGGTAGACAGAGTCTATTTCAGTGTTTGTGTTCATTATTGTCTGATCTGATTGTTCATTTCTTAAAATATTTCATAAAAGTCTAATCAATTTCTTGATCTATGATTCCCAAATTTTCGTGATTGAATTGTCATGAAAATTCACTTCATTATGAAGTTGGCATGAAGAACCACCGATATCACAAAGTACAAACTCCTCCTATCATAACGGTCAGCATTATTCTTTTGTAGTAAGAACCAGTGCATTTATGCTTGATGTTCTTATGGACTACTACATTACTAGATAGATTGATTTGATAAGTGAGTTATTACTTTAATATTCATCTAAAGAATTGATATTGGGCTAATTTTATTCAGTGTGTAATTTATGATGTATCTGAAAACCTTCGATTTATCGTTGTACTTGATATGTACTTGTTCAGTAATGAAGAAATTTTCTAGAAAATCTTACTCAGAAAATATCAGTTTCATGGAAAATACAGACATCTTATGAATGTAACAAATTTGGTAGTACTACTTTGAAGTTTAATCGGTGGTTAGCAGAAGAATCCAGGACCTGCGTTTCGTCCTACTTGCTACTCTTCTGCTGAATATACCTGGATTCAAGTACGGGGTGGTATTCCCACTAGGACTCGACTTCATGACCCATCGCTCCAAACATCGAAGCACTATCCGCTAGGCCACTCACTGGGGTACAGGTACATCTGGCTAATGAGTGCCGGAGAGGATGGAAAATGCGTCCTGGATTCTTCCGTTAGCCGCCAAGTAAACTGCAACATAATAAGTATTCAGGCTGTATAAAGGCATTCGCATAGGAGCCCATCTGCCAGCAAACTCCAGTATAGCAATTGGTAGTACTACTTTCGTTCCTTGATAAAGCTTCTCCTTCCTGAAAAAAACTCATCTACATGATTGTTTCCTATGTAGATTGACACAAAGCTGCGTAAATATTATTTTCTAGGTAGAACATAGGGCCACAGGTTCAAGGCTACTGCATCAGCAGGATAACTACAACTGAAAACATGTTTAACTGGTCATCGATATTCTTTCTACTGTACATCTCTGGTATCACTTTGTGTAGGTGTGTGTTTGTGTTGTTGTTGTTGGTTTTTATCATTTAGTACTTGTTATTCCAATTTCATCCTAATCGATTTATCTATCATATACTTAACGGTTAGCTGAAAAGTTCGTCGTATGTGTGTAGCGCGTAGACTAAAACAAAAACAATATTAAGGATAGCAACAACAAAATTAATTTGTTTTTGTAACATGAGAAAGTGTTATGCATGAGGAGAACTATTTTTTATACTTTAAACTTCACAACTACATAGAAGTTTTTCATCTACGGACTACTGCATACATTGATTTTTCTGGAACTAGTAATAGTTTATTCCACCATCAAATACTTTGAAACGCGTAATTCTGCATGATAATTTCTTAGTGTCTACAATTTTCATGCTTACACAACTGAGTAAATTTTCAACTGCTTAACCATGATGCTAACAGGATTCTCTTTGAAAACAACCATTGATTATGGTCTGTAGTATAAAAGTTTTATACAGTAGTCAAGTATGCTACTAAACAAAAGGAATTTCCGGAAAGCGGTCGCGCACTGTTCCGTTTTGTTTGCCTTTTTTCAGTAATTTAAGAATCTAACCTTTGACTAGTATCCTAAAATAGTTAATTTTGATTTCGAGAAGAATTGAAAGTGTTTCACTGATCAATATTAAAAAATGACAAACATCTGCCCATTATTTTTGTCTTATTTTCTATGAAATTCGCAAATGATATCACTCAAATGTAAACAATGTTCGAAGTTTAGTCAAATCTTAACTAATCCCTGAAGCATTCGTGTTAGGGAGATTTTGTTGTTCCATTCAAGTCAAACGTAAACCCATATTAAACACACCATATTGATGATGCTTGCTTATCTCCTTTATATATATGGAGAAAATAGTGAGGTTGAAATAATATGTAAACCATATGACTCCATAAATGTGTTTTTATATGTGTATATATTATTAGTGAGGCTCTCCGAGATAACCGTGGTTTGGTAGATTCGTATTATTGATACTTATTGATGCTTGGAGCGGGAATGAAAGCCTAGGTAGCAGGAGGGTTCGAACCAGCGCCCTTCGGATTACTGGTTCGACGATCTCCCGACTGAGTTACAGGTTCTAATCTCTGACCAGATGAAGGCCGTTGGTTGGAATCCTGTTGAGATCCAGATTTTCACTTCAAGCCACCATCTAAATGTAGTGCCTCTTCTGCTGTTATACAGAAAACTGCTATGTTTTGATTATTCACTTGTCGTATAATCTGGTTATGGTACTTTACTTTCTGTGTTGTTAATGATGAAGAAAGCATACACACTAGCCAAAGTGTACATGTCTATGTACAGTTACCCTCCCTTTCTAATACAAAAATACAGAATAGGTATATAAAATGAAATCTCGTAGTATTGACGAGCTTTACAAAGAATTGTCTGTTACTGAATGTTTACTCATCGTATCTATACTTTTACACAAGTACCATGGCTTGGAATAACATCATTATTGGCCAACAGTAGTTTGAAATTTACCCGAATCTCAGACGAACTGAACCTTGGAACATATTTTTGGTCTTAGTCGACAGTCAGTGGAAAGATCATGAGACTGGACATACCTATTCATTATCTCCGCCTATGCGTCCACCGACTGAACTTCAGATGATAAAAAGGATGAATTTGATCAAAAGCTGTCAATTTCGCTACATAAAGCCAAAGATTTGGATACAGTCATAATAGCAGGCGACTTCAACCCTCAAGTAGGAAAGCTGGGCCAATCAGAAAGGTATCTTGGAGGTATCTAAGGAATCCTATGCCAACGAACCGACAACAATGGTCGTCTGTTGCAACTTCCTCCTGACAGTCACTTTTTTCTGGTTAGCGCTAACTTCAAGCATAAGTTGCCTGGTTTTTGATGCCAGCTGAATTCAATTACGGAAAAGTCGATAAACAAATCATCATAAGAACCCTTTACAAAAGTAAATCAGTTCAAGTTGTTTTATTTAGTAATAGGATCCAACGAAAAAGTTAAGTCACCCTAGCCTTCTTCCAACCGAAACCTACTTTGGTTATCATTGGGAGTCGAAATAGACGGTCATTCAGTAGTTGCAACACATGCTGGAACCAAGTTTATACCCTTATTTCGTGTATCTTTAGACATTTCACAAAAAATATGTTCATTGTGCTGGTGATTCACGGCTATATTACAATCCATTTTACTTGATAACATGATGTTAATCACTAAATAGTGGCGACTAGCGTATTTGATATTCCTACAGAAAATCTTTCATTGTTCCTATAGCTCACTGTTGTAATCGACAGATGCAGCATTGTTTTACATACGTTCCAATGTTATATAAGTTGCTACCTTCTTCGATGTTGTTTTCTTACTCTGAAGACAAATTTTATTTCACTCATAAACTGGTGAAGAATTTGCGTATTTCGGATGTCTTCGAATTCGACTAAACCATAGTAGTTATTTTTAATAATTAATCATGGAAATGATTTATTTTTCAGCAGGCTCCATATGTCATTGGACATTCATCGTTCTGTTATTGGTTTAAAAAAGACTAATTTTGATGATGAACAATTTTAGCTGTTCGAATTTTCAGAATTCCAGTGTCTTTCATTATTATTATTAATTTCATTTGCTAGACTGTAATTATAGTTCGTGAAGTGCGTTCCTTTTTCTCTTCTAATCATTACTTTTTATCATTGAAAAATACCCATAACTATAGAATGAATGATGATTACACCCTTTTACAAAGTTGTCCAAATAACCTGCGTGTATGATATACACGAACAGAAGTTTGAGCGTATACATTTGGCTAGGTGAATTTATTGATTAGACAAGTATTTCACCTCATTTTCTGTTTTGTGATGTATTCGTTCGTTCTGCATGATGGACGTGATTATTTCCCTTACCTGAGGAGAGTGACTCATTTTGTTGACAAAACAGCTTTGTGCACTTCTATGTGAGGAAGAATGTGACCCTTTTATCCCTTTTTTCTTCAGTTCAGCTATGTCTTACCACATCTTTATTATCGATCTCTTCTACTTCTTGGTATCTTGTTCCATCGAAACTCACCCAGGTGCTTACATGGGTTTACGAATGTCACTGCACTCAGTAGTTTACTGCTCAATACACGTTATGACAAGAAAGTGTTTAACATGTTCTTATCAGCTTATTTTTTGATGTATTCGGATCATTACGTGACACAGAGTGGAAGGTAAAAAGAATGCCTAATCTGAAGAGTTTTCTCTGCATGAATTAACGTCATTCAGTATGAACCGTTTCGGACAATATCTTAAATATTTGCTCTTGTTTGTACAATGAATTACTAGTTTGCTGATTCATAAAATTGTGTAGGTTTTCCGTTTATGTCGCTTAAAGGATGACAGTAACATTTCTGTTTTCTAATGTAGTGAAGTTTATTTGTCGGTCTATGTTAGTTAGTGCATCAGCTACGCGCACAAATCCCTGCTTCCAAGACGTCTCTTGTCGTTTTTGAACTTGATTGTTGCAGTATTCCTACGTTGTCGCAGTTGAAGTTGTGACTGTGTTCATCTATATACATCGATATCAATGAAGATATATCGTATGGTTTGACTACAAGTTGATGCTTATTAGTTCTTTGAGCTACTCTACGTGGGACACGAGTTAAACAACAGAACACTTACCTGGACCTAAAAAACGAACCACTTAACAACAGATCAAATATGTCTCAGAAACTTTTAACCGATTATTTCACCCATTTGATATCAGCGTGACAAACAAACAAACCAAATCTTTGCAGAACATATTACGCCGGCTAGAGAATGCATTATACAAAGAAAACAAGACGAATATAATCTACAAAAATAGTTTCAAGGACCGTCAACATCACTAAGTTGACCAGTTTAATCTTTGGTTAACTTGAAGAAATTATGAGCACCAATTTGTAGCCGAAAGACGTGATATATTCTCATTAATCGCGATACATATAGATGAACAGAACCACAACTTCAACTGCGAGAACGAGGAAATACTACAATAAATAAACTGAAAAACAGCAGAAGAGTTCTTGAATATTGACCCAATATATGGGCTAATACGAAGTGATCAACCAACTGGCAATCAATCAAGTCAATAAGCAGACATTAGGTCAACAACATAGGTCGAACAATAACCTCTAAGAATAAACCTCAAAGCTTGGAGTATACTAAATAGTTATAATCTTATCACTTTTATGACACCATTGATAGACCTTTGTGGAATGCATCATTTACTTTACTAAGTTGTGAAGAGCCTATCGAGGCTATTTAACTTTCAGGTTGAATAAAAATGATGAATCACTTAATATTGATATACCAGAAAATAATTCAATGTTGGCGGGAAAGTTCATTTTGTTACCGGAGTCTTTGTAAAACTGCAGATAAATGCATCCAAAGATGGTTGAGTCCTAATATGAAAGGATACATTTTTATGACTAATGCTTAGGGTAATAATTTAAACAGCTGTGCTTTTTTGCAAAGGATATCCTTTAACCTCGTTTATTCTACATTCTTCGAGTCTCAGTAGTGAAATATGTTAGTCCCATATTGACTTTGTGGCTCCGGTCAGTCAAGTATCTGTTATACTACAGATTATGACTATTCAGGTGTAGATTTTCATTGCCATCTGAACATGTTGGTATCGAGTCTCTTTTGATCAAATATCTTCTGCGTGTAGTCAGTCTGATAGGCTAGAATTCTTAGTGAGTATCTCCGTTTTTATAGAATAATGTTTGTTTGATTAACTTTTAACATAATCTAACTTTCCTCTTGTTATGAGACGAATTATCTTAAAATTCAATCACACCCTTATTAAGATGGTGCACAAAAATGTAGATCACAACCTAAGAGTTTTTCCGAATGCACTGTGCAATATACGAACTTTAATTCAAAGTGTATTTTCTCATAAGTGTCACACTGCATTACTTGACAAAAGCAGGTTTATTCTACAGTTTATTCGTGAAGGAGTACTCATGATTGATTGATGTTTAATAGAAGTCAAGATTCAGTTGTGTTATAGTATGGAATAAGATTCCTAAGATTTTCATGAAACGCTTTAAATCCCTGAAGCCATTCACTACCAATTGTGCCCCATCGAACTTCCGAGAAAAAGGTGGTAAGATAACAGAAGGTACACTACAACGTCAAAATGTATACAAAATACAACGGTTTGTATATATTTACAATGGTGTTGAGTATTTCTACTGATCTTCACCTCTTCGACCATCCCGGTACTTACACATTGGTTCACTTGTTTTTTCTCGGAAGTTCAGTGGAACATAATTGGTTGTGAACGGCTTCAGGGATTTAAGGAGTTTATGAAGATTATGACAATATTATTGCACACTAAGATTTCACGAGAGTGAGTGTTGTCGGTCAGTATATTTATTTTTCAAATCAATTCGGATTTAGTTTGTCTTGTTCTTGTTTTCTCCAATGTTTTAGTGCCTATTGATAAAAAATGTTCATGTTTTCATTATCATTATTATTATTATTTTCTCTATACTTTCTTTAGGTCTTTTCGATCCAAACTCTCCTCCATATATTCTTGAAGCTTATAAGCCTGTAAATATTATCCTGGAGCCAATGAAATCATGGTCAGGTCAATGGCATATGCCGACAGCACGATATATTCGTTATAATATTACACTGTCATCATTAGCTTCATCAATCGGTGTATTTATGCGTCATAATACAATGCCGACAATTGTACATTATGATATATTTGACCGGATAACCGGACACAATTTATTAACTAATTCTGGTCGACAGGAATTAGGAAGTCGAGCTAAGCGTGCTGTCGAGCCAAATCATAGAACTTCAAAGCCTTTACTTCATATCGGTGCAAATGTAAGTTTCTCATGATCTGCTTATGGTCACCTGATTCTTATAGATTGATGTCATGACTTTTGATAAAGTTGATGCTTAGTGATTGCCGCTGTCTCGTATGGTGCATCTTCATAAAGATAACTTTTATCGTTGGTTGAAAAAAAGAATGGAATAGGTTCAGATCAAAATGAACCTGAGAAAGCTATTTTCTTGTTCGTTCATGACTTCTTCGCAGTTTACTTGTGTTCTAAAACCTCACAATCATTAGGTCACCAGCCTTCGAATTTCTTAACCAATTAATTCTGAATCGAATGATCTGTCACTTTCTGAATCTATAGAATTTATGACATAGCATGAGTATCTTTTGCTGTCATAGTGAGGTTTACTTTTCTCTCATACTTGGTTTGGTTTATCAGAGATCACCGTTTCTTGCAGATGATACATGCAGGAATTCATCCATCCACAAGCACTTGTAATTCTAAATTCAATCGGCTTTGGCAAATGATGATAACGACATCTGCGAGGTTCGAAAGTGGGATAAAATATCTGTCTGATACTTTCTGATTTTCAGTGACTCTAGTGAAAAGTGACTCCCACATAAACCAATTCGCGAAACAATATATATTTCCGTACGTGTATTGCTTTTGATGCTTTATGTATATAATAGTCATATTCATCCATTGGGTCACAACTTATTGGTTTTCGTACCCAACTTTTAGCTGTTATATCATTGATTCGGGCAGCATTCTATGTCTCACTGTCTCCGTAGCCAAACAGAATCACCGACCACCACTTTGAGGATGCGACTCACTATGTATAAGTGATAGCTAATGTGCTTTGTTTATCTTGTCTCACTTCAGCAAAAGGTTATTCGTTACAAAGATCCATCGATGAGACGGTGATTAGTCGTTTTGTCTTAAAAATAATTGCCATTATCTCTGAATAGATCAACTCAAAGTATTCCGTTCAATCTCGAAGTTGGTCGGTTGCCAACTTAAACAGACCGGTAAGGTAATAGGTTAAAAGCGGTAAGGTTGATGCTCAAACGCATTTGTAAGTAGTGGCACTGATATTTTTCGTCAATTTTGTAGTCTTATCACTCACAGTTTTGTCGGAATTAGAATAATTTTATCAAGTATACAATTCTGTATGTGATGTGCGTGTGCGTGTGTCGACAAATTATTCGCTTTATACCGAACCGAAGAAATGAAAATCAGAATATCAGATAACTATTATCAGCTGATTTTAAAAGACATTCTACTTAGGATTTATTGAATAGTATTCTTGTGTAGCTCATCTAGAGAACTTTACACTGACTCCTAACTTATGTCTATGCAACTCGTAGTTTCGAAATAGTTGTATATTAAGTAAAATCGATTGTCGTTCATCATTTCTATTTTCTGTTCATGCAAACAATTATTTCACTTTTACGATGCCTTATGAACGTACAGTTCAGCTGTATGCAGTACTCAGATTGCACAGAATACCTATTGCAGGAAGCCATTAGTCTTAGTTTTCTATTGCAAAGTGGGAGAGAAAGAACGGTGGACAGTTAAAGGTTTGTTAATAACTCATCTAGCGTCCACTTCAGTCAATAACTCAAAGGCCTAGAACAGCGTAGCAAGTGCAGTGAAATTCAGATAGTAAGGGGTTCAGAAAGTCTCAGTCACGTGACTGGGTCAAAGTTTTATATTTTGTGGTTATCAGTTCAAGTACGGGATATTTGTCATTATTATGAATTGATAACTGTTATGTTAGTACTTGTAAACTATACCCTTCGTACAATGTGTGGCTATTGTGACTCAGTAGCCTAGTGGCGTTTAAAGCAATCGGTTCTGGGCTAGAGTCCTAGTGGAAACAACATCGCTCACTAGAAGGTAGGTACAACAAGCTGACGAGTCCCAAATGGAATGAAACGCTAGCCATTATCCATAATTGCTACCAGACTGATAATTTTCTTGTAAAACGATGTAGCATGACAGAGTTTTTTCAAAGTCATCTTTTATTTACAGCTGGAAAGAATCTGAAGTTATTCAGTTCACTCTATTTATTTAGTTATTTTATTTATTTCAAGTAATTTTTGTCGGTAAACACCTTAACCCCACATGTTCCTTCTCAGCATTATACCTCATATTGAGTATTTGAACATTTCTATTTCACCAGACTTGAATGTGAACATTACTGTGAACAGTGAGCAGTTTTTCAAACAAGCGTATAAATAGATTGTATTGCCATTTCAAACAAAGATCCAGTTTCCTTCAAATAAAAAAGTGGCAAACATAGTATTACAGATGGTTGTTGTTATAACTATACTCCTAAGAAAGTAACTTATTTACAGTTTCTAAGAGAGAAAATAATTATTATTTATCCAAATGTAATCAGTTAATAGATGCATGAACGTGTGTAGAGTTAACTGCAGAGCAAATAAAAGTGTGTTGACAAGATACTGGCAAATCCATAGAAATTACAAAGTCAAAATTCAAAGAAATTATTCACCTAAAACGTCGTCGTTTTTTTAATTCAGACTGAAGTTGTTAAGACGTAAAGTCTGAACGGGTAGATGTATCTGTCAACTGAAAATGGCCATGCTGTCTTATTAGTCAATATGGAAATGTAATTTTGCAAGCAAAACAGGTGGAGAATAATACAAAATTCCGTCTTGTATTCAAAAAAAGAGTTAACAATTAGAATGTGAAAGAACTGTGTTCACCTGCTACTCTTTATAGTTGTCAACTTCTGCTAATGACTACGGTACTCTAATCAACAAATCTTAGCGTAGTTCGACTCCGTATAGTTAGTTTGACTGACTATTCCGTGGTTTTTTGCACTATGTGTGTACGTCTGCCAACAACGCAAATCAATATAAATGTTAAGAATATGCATTAACATACCTGAACCATCTAGGCTCTCGTACAATCTCATCCATGAAGTTCTACAATACGCATGATATCTCCACTAAACATTAGTGTTACTTCAAAAGTATTACTTCTCGAATGTACATTGTGTCTTAATATCTTCTATTCTCAGCGAATATGTTTCAGAGTTCCATTTTAGAATGGTTAGCAATATAATATTATATAATTCATTCTAGAAATAAGTATGAAAAATATGATTTTCGCTACAGAAGTTGAATGAGATGTTGAGTCTTATTTATATCCAGGCATGCATATTAGTATTCAAGTTTATCTCTTCCATTTGACATAAGCACAATTGAAAATTTCTATACAATCGCTTGTTAAGGCAAACACTGACCACTGGGTAATCTAACTTGCTTATAGACAACACACACTTATTCTGATACTCAAATCAGGGGTCATTTCATATGACTTGTCTATGAAGTGTTCACTTGAAGACATCTCCTTTTAAGACTGTGTTGACCTTAACTGCCTTTGACTAAATAGCTTCAAAAAAGTATATATAATTAAATTAATAAACAAATAAATTACTTTATTCGCTACTACGAATACATAAAATAATAATTAATAAAGCCACTTGATCATGATTATTCCAAGTGTCACTTGTCCTGAAGAAATTGTCGTTACTCAGCGAATGAAAAATCCTTTGTTACTTGTCTGAACTTGAAATAGGCAGTTGTGTGTAAAACACGTTTCTGTGTTGATGCATATATATATTTTTTAAATGTAGTTCATTTAATGATTTTGCCTGAAGACTATCTTTATCAACAACCGTTTTAATCAGGACAAAACTGTTTGAATCTAACTTTGAAGTCCCCAGTAGTGTATTATAAACGTGGGTGAACTCAAGACTTACAATTCTCAAGATGAACACGCTCGTATTAAGTTATGATTGCATTGAAATGCAGTTGTTTATATTCTCCAACTCCTCTTAATCCACCAAAAAGCATGACCTTCATTCATACGTATGAATAAACATGCATTGTCACTTTTGACGTGTTCAAGCCTACCAGTCACGATTTTCTATTTAAACTACAGCAAATTTATCTCAAAATGCATAATTATTGGAAATTAGGTTACTGTTTAGTTTTTTTGTGAAGCACAATAATTTCAGGATAATTTGAATTATGGCTCGGTATAAACAGAAGATACATAGGTTACACATACGGTATGTAAGTAGCAGCAAATGCTCCTTCAGTTCATCAAGACAAAGTGGAATAATACGTCACTTTTGAAATATTCTACAGCTTTCAAGTTCCAATCTTAGTTATCAATAACATTGAAACGCGTCTTCCATAAAGACTAACTCGCATTTTAGTGATATGTGCTACACTGCAACCCACTCTGTCCTATTATGCGACTGTCAGTCATGGCGCCTAAAGAATAATATCCGAAGAGATTACAAGTATCTTCGTAGCATTGCTCATCTAGGGTACTGAAGCTAAAAAGAAAGCTAGTCGGTGACGTCGTGAACTTTTACCGATTGTAGTGGTTGTGACATTTGTAGAGTGCATCCTGAACCACTCCTTACCTCGATGTAGCTGAAGTAGAATTGAGTTGGTCGAAATCTCAGAACGGCCAAATCAAAACATGGTATCAGTTCATAAAGTTTCTGACTGTTGATCTGAATCGTTTATGGAGGTGCGGACTGCGTGGTTGGAATCTTCGTGATAATAGAGATCAACGGTTGGAAATCCTTGGTGATATGTCTTAAAAACCGGTCTTCCAGTTACCTTCATTTTTCATATTGTGTCTCCTTCCACATACTTTTCTCTGCTTTGATATCACTCTCTTTCTATCCGTTGTTTTTGCATGTCGCTGTAAAGTGTGGCATCTTGAATCGATACTCTTCTGTATAATGTTCTACGTTGATATGTCTGTCTGTCATGTTTCAGCGATAATCACATGGATCTCCTTGTTTTAGTTACCATAGTAAGCATTGGCACTGATTTTGTTGTACTATATGGAAACGGTCGATGAAATTTGGAGGCAAAGCCTTACTAATTTTCATCTAGTAGTTCTTTCCTATCATTATTCGAACTCAACACAATCAGTTTTCACATTATGATGAAAAATGATGTAGAACTTCATTTAGGAGAAATCTAATCACAAGGAGATGGCTATCTCTTAACTAGTAATAACACATGTGGACACTGCGGGAAAGGTTTCATTTATTGTAAGTCCCAGTGTCGGACAACATAGCCACCGAATAATGCTGTTATAGATGTGTAGAAAAGCTGAAGGAATATCAAATTATTCGGCAAAACTATTGGTTGAAATTTTTGATAATACAGGTTCTTCCCCCGTAGATTTGTTTTGCCAATGCTTAGTATTTCTGTACAGATTGCTTACAACTTATTTTTGGATTCGCCTTTCATTTCAACAATAACTCATGTTCTCCCTTGGGACATTCTTGTTAGTCAAACTTCGTAACTTCATTTCGTACGTATTTTATTCCAGTTTTTTATTTTGTTAAGCATAATTGAAATAAATTAGCATCAGCAATTTCAATAGAAATAAGAACAAGTTCTTTCTGGTGTTTTATTTATCTTTTTTCTCAGCATAATCTTAATAATTTCATTTATCATCCACTTAGGATGAAACACGTGAAACTGGACGTTTGCACTATTTAGACGAAGGGATTTGGTTTCTTGCCATAGTTAACGATCAACCTAGACGTGAACCGATCACATTCTCTATTGGAGACGCAGGTGAGTATTCTTTACCTTTGTCATTAAATACTATTCCCTCTTAAATCTAGTCTTCCATAGTTCATTCTCACCTTTTTTTCAGTCTAATAACCACGAGACAAATACTTATGGCTGTATATTGATTAATTCTTACTGCTAGCAACTGGCGAGAATCCATATTTGACCTCGGTACCGGTGAAATAAATTTCTAACCTCAAAGATATCTGACTCGATTAAACATATATCACAACGTTGAGAGATGTAGAACGAGAACCAAACTATTGGTGTTACTGCTGGTTATCTAATTCCACCCACAAATCCTTCTTTTGGAGCTGACCACATATCTTAAAAAATCAGTGTATGGCTTCAACACTATAACACGGGTTCGTGAAAGGCACCTAATAAAAAACAAATCATTGACAGCACATACCACTGTTGCTTAACTTCTTTGGACACAATTATGAACTGTAGTATCTGCAAGAATATATTCCTTGATTCAAGAAAAGATTTACATTCTTTTCTTAATCACTATGAAAACACTTTTTTTTTTACTGAACGGCTTGATGTCCATTCTTGGTGTCAACTGGATGTCAATGAATAAGAAAGGTTTTTTTTGTCTCCTTATTTTTGTTTTGGTCACTAACTATTTAATTTCACTGACTGCTACAGTGCCTCCTAAGGCATAGTTATCACTACGAATGTTGTTGTATTCAGAATTTCCCACCGTTATCATGCACGTGTAGTGAAACGCAAATAGCTGCATTTCTCTCCTTCACAAGACTAAGTAATTATTAAGTGAAATAAAATCTAGGTTCCCAGTTGTATTCTATATCTGGCCTTGAAACGGTAATCAGTCGGTCACCAGAGCTCTGAGGTTCGAATCTATCGGATATTAAGGCTTTTTTTCATTGTAAGTCATCACTTTATTTTATGAAAATTGCTAGTAATTCCACTAGCCATTCACTTGAAATTAATATCTCCCTCCAAGTGTTTATGTTGCCTAGCCTCTAAAACCACCGGTTGGTTTCATTCATGCAAGCGAATCTGACTCATCAATCATTGCAATAATTCACTTACACAACCTATCACAATAATAGGTGAGTGTATTAGTGAATCACTGATATATATATATATATATATATATATATATATATATATATATATATATATATATATATATATATATATGATTAATCTCCAAACGGTAACAGGGAATGAAATAACTAAAACAGAGAGCAAAGTATAATTAAATGATGCCCCAAAACAACTTGTAAAGTAGTAAATTATCCTAATCATCAAAAAGAATACAGTCGAGTCATCACTATCAGAACATAAGGACTGACCTATATAATGTGCTTTTATAGAAAATAGTATATCATTTATGTACTATGAGGAAGAAAACGTGCTAAATGGGTCGTTTGTGTCTGAAAGTTGGCACAAAGGGAGTGATAGTCGGTCTGTAAGCATGTGATTGTATATGTATGTTTGTGAGTGTACATTTGTATACTAGCCCATGTTTATCTCACCTTCAATATCGATGAGAAAGATATTCTTTTCTGCTGAACTTCGGGTCATCTTCTTCAGTCTACAAATGATTCGTATTATGGATAAGTTTACTTGCTTCTGTAGAGTTAGTCTTAGAAGAAAAACAAAGTATTTGTGAGGTTTTTCCTGCATGTCTTTAATAAACTGTCAGTGCAAATATGCAATCACTTCAGTACCTAGTTATCTAGATAATTCAGGCCAGATGATTCCACCGGAATCCTCTTTGAAAGTTATCTATAAGGTTAGACCAAAGAGTTCAAAAATAGTACGGTTCTGTAATTTAAGCACTTCAGAAGTGCTGGTAACCCACCATTTCAAGTATAAAACCTTGTGTGTAGAAGAAGTATGTTCTGTTTCTATTTTTACTGTGGCCTTAATAACAAACCAGATCTTAATTTCATTCTGTCTTTATAGACAAGTTTTTATTCTACTGTTGAAAGTTATGGTAACCACATTGCCCTGTCTGCCAATAACAGACCGTTACTTGTTTCTAACACATAGATACGACTATGCGACTTCAGCTAATTATATCATCGAGGAGGAAATTTCCTTCGTTGAATTACCGTCAGTTTTCCTCACGGCTTGGTTAGCTTCTTTCATCATCTTGTAGCACCTGCTGTGAATATTTCAAACTAAAACTATTTCATTGTAGAAATAACATTGGGAAACTGTGATAGTGTATAATTCCATAGTAATGCTGGATATTTCACATAGTGAAACAGTATTATCTACTGAATGACGTTTCATTCTTCATACTCCCAATCAATTTTGATAAAATTTGGAATTCTCAACATGTAAAGTCATACGCTTGAGAGCCTGTTACCATTCACCATGGTGTTTTCTCTTAATTTATGAGTTTTTCTTGCTTTGTGATAGGTTTTAATGGTTTCTAAGATGTGCATGTGTATATAATGCGATTAAAGAACATAGCTGAATGACTGAAATAATGTAGAAAGGAGAAACTGGATGCAATATATTCCATGACAGAATTAGTTAGTCCTAAGTTGGCACATATTTGTTTCCAGTTTTCCACTTGAACACATGCACACTTATTCTTTTTCAACAAAGGATTTATTTATTGTGTTTACACTTTCCCAATTTGTTCTATTGTTTAAGTGAACTGTTAGTTTTAAAACTATAAATTATACATTGAAAATCAGATTTCCAACTATCACTACTATTGTTATGTTAGTATGCCGTAATTAACGACAAAATCGACTGACTACCATTATTGTATGTAAACGGAAAACCCCTTTTTGTCTATTAAAATCATTGTTTAGTTCTGCCATATGTAATTATTTCGTTGAAACACTCTTGTAGCTCTCAGTTTCCCTTCATAAACAATCTGCGTCACATAAGCTCGTTATGTAAGTAGAAAGACAATCATAAACTTGTATTTCAAAGGCGTAGAGAAGTTGTACAGTTTTTTTCATAGTAATGGTAATTCCGTTCTTGTATTCGAAAAATAAACAAACTTTAGAATACAGAAATCAAGTTTCTATAACCTTTTGAATGTAAACTATTGTATAAGTGTATAGCTAACCAGCCACTCTGTCTTAACAGCATTAGAATCAACATGGTGTACATGTATATGTGCATTTATCTGTGAGTATATATGCTACTATATAGATGCAGGTTGGTTTGGGATGGAAATGGTTTTCACCAAATGAATAAAGACAGTTTGTGAGTTATTCACTTTTCTTCTCCTGTCTGCTAATGATTCACTTTTCAATTTCAACGAGAAAATCTCATTCTGATACTCATCCTCTTCTTCCAAAGGTTCTCATTGTCCTGTGCTTTTGTTCTCTTTTTTATTAGCTTTCCTCTTCACCGTAGACGAACACTTACTGCAATAAGGAGAGTTCGGACAGTAAAAGTATGAACTTGTCAATCTCTTCCATTTTTAATTCCATCCCTACTGTCTGCAAAGACAGTTCGTGAATGCGAAGTATAACTGACAAAAATCATACCTCGCCTGGGTACCAAGAAAATGGTCAAATATTGCGATTGGAATGTAGATGACTTGGAAATGGAAGCATGTATTCATAGCTAGGGACACGAAAAGAGTTCAGTTTCTTTCCAAAAATAAAGTTCATCACGGCTATTTATTTTAAGAGAATATAAAACATCTGATGGCATTGTACCACACCGTCAATTCATCGTTATATTTTCTCTTCCATGTACTTCTCTACAGTTAAGTAAAATAGTTGGCAGATATGTTCGAGGCACTTTTTGGCAGATTAATTACACACTATGATTGTATCCAATAAGCAGTGTTGCAGTCAAACCTAGAGTTCTAAGTGAGATTTACCTCCCAATGTTTGAGATTGTGATTGAGGCTGGTTGAGACGTTTTACGCACACAAAGTCATCCTTTGTCAAGTCATGAGATAACAGTCAGGGTAGGACTAGGTTGCCTATGTATCCAGGGTGATCAACTCAGGCATAACACTATTCTGTGACATTACCTAACTACTGTCAATCTGAGTCATATATGGAGATGTAGTGTAGCTGAAATCCACGAGATGTCGATAATCACGGGTTACATATTCCGGTTGGTAGGGTTAAATGTGAACTACAACATGTATATCAATTTTCATTAACAGATTTTCCTGAATACCATGGGTGAAGCTATCTCTTTTTTAAATCCACAGCTAATAATGACTTTTTCGAGTTTCAAGTTCAAAACATTAGTAGATATTGCAAACCTCTGACTTTTTGGTCTGGTTTAGGCATTCAATTTACAACCAAGTTGGCCGTGGCTTCGAACCCCTCCTGCCCACCGAGGCCTCGGCAACCAGATAGTGTCACTAGCCTTTAGACATAGCTCATTGCCATGTGCACAACTCCACATCTGGTTGTCGAATTAAAGTACCTTATTACATCATCAATGTCTCATGGAATGCGAATGTGATCTTCAAATGTCTTGTGTCATTTTCGTAATCATAAGTGTGGTTATATTCAATTCTTCTATCAGAAGGTAACTAAAGCTTAAGGTGTTTACCTTCAACGATTTGATGTAATTTCAAATTTTTACATTAGACTATTCTATCACTTTCAGTTACTTGTTATAACTAGTTATGCTTAAAGTAGTAATAATAGGAACTATTTTATATAAAAATTAAATCATATCTGCTTGAGTGGGGAGACTTCTTTACATTTCTCTGGATTTCCAGAAATTATTTCTATATGCAAGTCTGCACTGACGAATTACATTCATTTTTATCTATTCACCATCATCATGTGCTAATTCAAGTGAAGCTGTGAGACTTGAACGTCGCAGATCAGTTAGTAGAATATATCACCTTGGTCGCCTAGTCTTTCTGCTTGATTTCTACTGTGATTTTAGGTTTTCATCTCCTTGCCTTATAAACCAGCGAAGCTCAATTTCACTATCTAAAACACATCTTTCTCATCTCAATTTCATGTTACTAATAATGACTTTGATAGTGAAAACAAATACTTTCTGACCGTTTAAAGATATATCCAAGTCGCTGGTTGCATTCTGGAACACCGGCAAGTTGGGTTAAGGAAAATCAAGATGAGAATATTGAGAAACCTACTCTTAAACACTCCATTATTCCCGAATATTTACTCATCTGTAGCTATTATTCATTGTTAATCAGTTTTTAAACCAATACTGTGCCAATGTAATGGATATATAATGGATGACAGGAGTCATTCGACAATAAGCTCTAGACCTAAGTTTCGTACTTATTAGCATTCGTCAGCAAGGCGTGTTTGCAAATACGAGGAAA